GGAAAGTGCTGAGAAGGTTTCTGGGAGAAAGGGAATGCGAGAGGGAGCGAGGGGGTGGGGGGGAGAGAGTGCGTGAGAGTGTGCGTGTGTGTGTGTGTGTGTGTGTGTGTGTGTGTGTGTGAGAGAGAGAGAGCGCGCGAGCGAGAGAGATGGAGGATTTTACAGTGTTTCTGGTGCTATAAATGAAAAATTTCTTGGACATTTTTTCAAGACATCGCAATAAAGATTTAAAAAGCTTTCTAATATTTTCAACTTTGCATTGGGCTGCGGACCTCAAAGTCCAAAGTTCAAAACCACCAGCTGCTCCTTGGGAGAAAGACAAGGCTTTCTACTCCCATAAACAGTTACAGTCTCAGGAACTCCCAGGCACTTCTACCCTGCCCTACAGGGCCCCCGGGAGTTGGGATCCACTTGATCGCAGTGAGTTTGTTTTTCAGTTTGGTTCAAATTTAGTTCTGCTGGGCCAGATCACAGGGTTTTTCAGTAGTTATGTAGGTTATACATGTGGACTGTTTTGGGGGGGGGTTAGAAATATTCGTAGGCCCCACATTTCTGAAGTGGACAGACCTTGCATGCTCTCCCTTTGCATCACTCATTGGTACCCAAATGTATAACCCTGATTCCCTGGTCATACACTACCACCTTCTTCCTAAGTGTTCCCTCTTATCATAGAAGCCCTAGTTCCATACCCTTTCTTTTCTTCTCCTTCTTTTTAAAAAACCCTTTTATTGGTAGTTAACACTGATAACATATTGTTCCAAAGTTCAATCACATCAGCAGTGTTGCAAAATTTCTACCACCATCAGTTTCCAAACATTCTTTTCCTTCCCAAACTCCTGGAAATCAGCTCCTTTTTACACTACCCCATCATTGTACCTCACTATAGATTCATCAGTCCTGGGTTTCATATACTGAAAAACAGAAAAACATATAACAAAGACTCAAGAGGGTGTCCCTCAATAACAGAACACATCTATGATAACCCCCAACATGAGCCAACAGGAAAGAATACAGGAAATGTTGAAAACCAGATCAGGCCTAATGTGCAGCAGAGGGTGATCAACTGACAAGGTTTTAACGGTTCAAGTCTCTCGTGATGTTTCGCAGGATAAAAACTGGCTTACTAAGTTGGCAAATTAATATTGTAGCATTAATGATTAACAACTGGCCTGATATGTAACCCATTCTAGGCATATTTGAGTAAATGTCTTTTTAAAGTTTCAGATGCTTCAGTAATAAGTAATATAACTGGAAATAAGAAAATGAACCATAGCACAGTGTCTAGTATAGAGCAGTTCTCCACACATAGCCCCAGAATGACCTTACTTTGAGGCATATCTGTATGGGGTGGGAAACGAGTGTCCCTGAACACTGAATTAACCCCTGTATTGCTGGGGAGGAAGGGCTCAGTGTTCGAATAGGAAAGACAGGCTATAGCCCAGGGTCCGGAGAGTATGGCTAAGGAGGAGGAGGGGCAACCAAAGCAAACACAAGTACATGAGAGTAAACAACACGTTTCTAAAATATTTCTGAAAGTCAAGATATTCTTTCTCCTTGATTTTGGTTGCTTATTGGGGTTTATGCTTATTCATTAGATATTTGTTCCTTTCCTATTGAACTTTACTCTCACATTATTCTCTGCTCCACAACCATAACTGTAATCTTCAGTCATTTAATGAAGCCCAAATCCCAGTATTTATATAATCATTATTGAAGTAGAGTTAAGGTTTGATCTCTTCTATTCCCTCTCAATTACTTACTTCCTTAATTTGTGCATTTCTCTGCAAGTAGCCACGAAGTCTTTTATTTGCAAGGTTTTATATGAAATGTTGGGAAGAAGGGGTAGATAATATCTCCTTGGCTCATGGAGTTCAGGCTATGCAAGCGCGAATTGATACAAATGGTTGAATACCATGCGGCGGGTGCCTCCTGCCTAAGAGTATCAGGAGTTTACAGAGAGCGATCCCTTGGTATAAGTGATCTATGTAAACAGCATGAAAGGCAAAGACCTGACTTAGGAAAAGGCACAAACAAAGTGGTTCTACAAGTAGATTTCAAAGCTTGGAAGAGAACATCCCAGAATGGGAGATTGGAGAGATGGGAGGGTTGGCAAAAGCATGTTGATAAAATAAGAAATTTAATCTGTAATGATAAAAAAGAATTATACTTTATAGAAATAAGTAGGTCAAGATACTTACCTATTTAAAAATCATTTTATTGGGGCTCATCCAACTACCATCACAATCCACACATACATCAACCGTGCAAAGCACACCCATACACTTGCTGCCCCCATCATTCCCAAAACCCTCGCTCTCCGGCTGGGCTCCTGGAATTGGGCCCCAACTTCCACCCCACCTCCTCACTCCCCTCTCCCCCATGAACCCCCAATAACCTACAAATCATTACTCTAGTCTATCCCATCCTACACTGCCTGGCGTCTCCCCTCACCCACACCTCTGCTGCCCATCCCCCAGGAAGGAAGCCAAACGCAGATCCCTGTGATCAGTTCCCCCTTCAACACCCCATTCCCTCCCCCATTGCCAATCCCACCATTGGTCCCTAAGGGTTTATCTGTCCTGGATTCCCTGTGTTTCCAGTTCCCACCTACACTGCGGTGCATCCTCTGGTCTAGCCAAGTCTTCAAGGCAGAACTGGGACCATGAGGGGGTGGGGGAGCAGGAAGCACTTAAGAACTAGAGGAAGGTTGTGAGTCTCATTAAAGATACTTACTTTGAAGTTAATTTTGACTTTGTATTCAACACCTTCCTTTAACACAAAAGTTACTTTTTTGAGGTTTTCGATGTCTCCTGTAGAAGAGGATTTAGAAACCATTTATTTCTCTTCAGAAGCAGATACACAGGGAGCCTAACAAAGCAGACATTCCACCCTTTATATTGGTCTCTGTATACACACAAACCTGAAATGTCTCACGCTGGTCCTCCCTACAGCGCAGACATGAACGAAATGCAATTGGACTTTTGGTTTAATGTCAGGACAATTCCAAAAGTGTATAAGACATCATCAGCAATAAGTTGTAAAGATGAAATGTGTTCTAATTGATAATAATAATGATAAATAATAAACGAGCTCTAATCAACCATACTGTAGGAAAACCAGAATTAGCTCTCTATTCTTCCAACAGAAAATGGTGCTAGGTGGTCAAGAAAGGAAGGGACTAAAGAATGCGTTGCCCATTCCCCCTACCCTCACTAAAAGAAACAGTAGAAAAATATCAAGGAATGCTAGACATTGCTTTTTATGGCTCTGGTGATGCCTATGGCGTTTTACAGCTTAAAAATTATTTTTGATCCATTTTATAGTGATAATTATATTCACTATTATAATTACTCTTAAATTTGTATTGACCATTTAGTACTATTTTCCCTAAGGAGGGTCACCCAAATGATAAAAATTTCAGATATTATAAAACCCAAATCTGTCTCAAATTCTTATATTTTGTTTAGGGTGGTAATCATTCTCTCTTTTTCTGTCAGCGTGATCCTGTACAATTTAGCATTTAAGTGTACGTGGGTAGGCATGTTATACAGCAGTGTCTGTAATACTTTATTAGCAGTACATTTTGACTTTAATTCAACATCTTCCTTTAGCACAAAGGTTGCTTTTACAAAATGGTGTCAAGATCCCCTGCAGACAGCTTGTACAAGCATATACAAGGGTGCTTCAAAAAGTTCATGGACAAATTCCATTATCTTTCAATTCCATATTCCCCACAACCTTTTTGAATGTGCATACCTAGAATTTGCATTACTAGGGTTTTTTGTGTTACAAGATCCCTTCTGCTGGTATTTCCCTGCAATATCTTCAGGCTCTGCTGAATAAAACAGACTTCCTGTGGTGCAAATGCAGACCTCCTCTTAACTGGCAGTTACACCTGATACCTTTACCCAATTTCACACAGGAAGAGGTCTGAGCCCTAAAGAGGGCCAGAGTCTCTCCTGGAGAGGGATGAGAATGGAGGGTGGTTGACTTTGTGCGCTGGGTCTGCTCTGAGGATTTCGGTTGAACAGGAAGTGTGTTTTCTCAGCCTCTGACTTCCTCCCTCTGACAGCAAAAAAGCCCATATAAGGCAGAGAGTGGATATGTGCCCTGAGAGGGGAACTACCTCCCTGCTAAACTAACTGTTCTAGACTCTTTCTTTGTTGGGTCTGAAAAAAAGAGTAATATTGGAACTTATTTTTCTCTTTACAGGAATTGGGAAGATGATAAAATAAGTTGATCTTGCCTTTGAAGATCCCCACCCCCTGGTACTGTTGCCTCATTTCTTCACTATCCCAGATACCCATGTCCCCATGGTTTCCATCTTCCAAAACTCAGGGAAGGAGTTGAACACAGTAAGGTGGTGAGGACCAGTCACAGGAAGAATTGAAAGTAACACCGTAGTTTATTTGCCTTTAGTGGGGACATTTTCTTGTGTAAGAAGATCAGAGCCTTGAACTAGGGGAATAAATAAAGACATAGCCGGGGAATTTCAAGTAGTTTTCAAGAGACCTTACATGGCTAGTAGCCTTTAGGTTAGTTCTATGGCTGATATGAGAGCAGTATTTTCTCTCTGATGTTTAGTTATATAAATATTAGTATTCCAGAAGCATGCTGAGTGCTTCTTAATATCTTAATCAGCAGTCTTTTTATAGAAATAGTAACCCTTTTGCTATCATTTGAATGTCAAACATCAGAAGTAAATAGCACACAAGTAATGATATCAAAGCTAATTCCCGTACTCTTTTTAATGAAGTAGAAAAAGAAGCGAGGCTCTTCATTAAGCATGGCAAAGTTGTGTGTACTCTGAAAGGAATGATTTGTTAGCTGGCACCAGTATATACATCACTTGTATTCACTTTACCAGGGGTTCCTCCTGCTGGGTCGGGGCATAGAAACCAAGTTTTCACTGAAATTATTATCAGGTACCTGAGCAGAACAGATGTGTCTACTTACCGGTGAGGTCCATGGTGATTGGTCCTGGGGCACTAGCACACACTAGGGTTAGCCGGGTGACCGTGACATTGGGGACTGTTGGGTCTGCAGGATTCAAAAGGGAATGTAAACATAGGGTGCAGATGTACAAAAACCTGGTCACTGCTATCAAGTCGATTCTGACTCCGATCAACCTTATAGGACAGAGTAGAACTACTCCCTTCGGGTTTCTGAGACATTAAATATTCAGAGGAGTAGAAAATGTCCTATTTTCCCATTGCATTGGCGGATGGGCTCTAATCGCTGACTTTGGGTTTGCAGCCTCACATGTAATTTGCTATGTCAGGAGGGCTCTTACAGATGGATGAAGGGGCTTCAAAAGGTTCATTGGCAAAGCCCATCATCTTTCACTATTGTTTTTCCACCAACGTTTTGAATCCCCTTTGTATATGTGTTTCAAGGACAGCATATGTGTGTGTGTATACATACACACACTATATATACACACCCAATGTATGATTTAATTGTTATTTGGAGTTGAAACAGAAACGTTGTGTACTGTTGCATTGATTGTTGATTCATAACGGGGCAGAATAGAATTGCCCTATACCATTTTCAAGGCTGTAATGTTTTTATGGGAACACATCACCAGGCCTTTTCTGCCATGAGTGGCAAGTTGGATTGAATTGTCAAACTTCTGGTTAACAGCCAAATGCACAGTCGTTGTGCCACAAGGGCTACTTTGAAATAGAAGTGGATGTGATAAATTGGCCATATTTGGTTATGATGGCCTTATAAATTAAAGAGATGCTATTTGAATTCACTCTTTTAAAATATACATCTTAATGATCAACATCAGATATTTCCTGAGTGACCATGATGAGGGACTCTGCTGGCACAATCCATTCATATCGTGGGACCATATCGTGCTACGTCACTGTGGGCGTGGACAAATTGAATGGCCAGTGGAGGGGTGAGATGGACAGAAGAATGAGAAAGAACGTGAGAGTTGAGAGAGGAGACTGCAATTATAAGTGTTCGTCCAGACTCCTTCTAAATTCTCTCTCTGTGTTCTGTTGTATCTCAGTGTTAACCTGTACCTTATCTCCATGCTCAACACATTTTAAACTGAAAAGACTAAAATAATTCAAGGCTCGAGTTGCAACATAGAAAGATTTGATGGGGAAAATATGGAATGATGCAGGAAGCATATCAAGGAGATGGAAAGAATATACAGTCATTGCACCCAAAAGAACTAGTCAACATTCAACCATTTCTAGAGGTAGCATGTGCTCCAGAACCATTAACAACCTTCAGAGGGAGGAACTCCAAGCTACACAGAAAGCATTAGCCAAAACAAGGCTTCAGAAATTGATTGAATACCAATTAAAATGTTTTAACAAGCTGATGACGTGCTAGAAGCACTCATTTTGGAGCTACTTGGCTAACTGCCTGGAAGAGATCCATATTTTTACCCATTCCATAGAAAAGTGACACCACAGAATGCTCAAATTATAGAATAATATCACTAACATTAATATATTAACCATTATTAATTATATATTTATTAATAATTAATATATCAACAATATAATTAATATATTAATCGTTAATATCTCAGTAAGTACAATCTTGTTGAAGATCATCCAACAATGGTTGTAGCAGTACACTCACAGGGAGCTGCCAGGAGTTCAGACTGAATTCACAAGAGGACATGGAACAAGGGATGTCATTGCTGATGTCAGGTGAGTCTTGGCTTAAAGCAGAGTACCAGAAAAATGTTTACTTAAGTTTTTAAAAAATTACTTATACAGAGGTATTTGACTCTGTGGATCATAAAAACTATGAATAGCCTCGAGAAGAAATTGGAATTCCAGAACAATTCATTGTGCTTACGTGGAACCTGCACATGGATCATAAGGCAGTTGGGCAAACAGAACTAGGCAATACTGCATGGTTTAAAAATCAGGAAAGGTGTACATCAAGGTTGTATCCTTCTATCATACTTATTCAATCTGTATGCTGAGGAAACAATCAGAAAAGCTGGATTATATGAAGAAGCATGTAGCATCAGGATTGGGGGAAGGCTTAGAGACCTTAGGGGACAGCTAGTTAACCACCTGTGATATGCAGATGACACAACCTTGCTAACTGAAAGTGAGGACTTGAAGCACTTGCTGATGATGATCAAGGCGTGCTGCCTTCAGTAGGGATTAGGACTCAATTCAAAGAAAACCAAAATCCTCACAACTGGACTAATAGGTAACACTATGATAAATAGTGAAAAAACTGATGTTGTCAAGGATTTTTGTCTTGCTTGGACCCACAATCAGCGATCGTGGACTCAGCAATCCAAAGCTCAAAGCACACACTGCACTGGGTAAATCTGCTGCACAAGACATCTTCAAAGTTTAAAGCAGTAGCTCTCAACCTGTGGTTTGCGACTCCTTTGGGGGTCGAATGACCCTTTCACAGGGGTCGCCCGATTCATAACAGTAGCAAAATTACAGTTATGAAGTAGCAACGAAAAGAATTTTATGGTTGGGGGGTCACCACAACATGAGGAACTGTATGAAAGGGTCACGGCATTGGGAAGGTTGAAAACCACTGGGTTAAAGGCAAGGAGGACACCTTTGAGGACTGAGGTGTGCCTGACCCCAGCCATGGTGTTTTGAAATGCCTCATATACATATGAAAGCTGGACACTGAATAAGGAGGACCAGAGAAGAATTGAGGCATTTGCATTATGGTGCTGGCAAAGAATGGTGAAAGTACCATGGACTGCCAAAAGGACAGACAGATCTGTCTGGGAAGAAGTACAGCCAGACTAGACCAGAGGATGTACACTGGTACAGATCAGAGAAGGAAGCACAGGGAATCCAGGGCAGATAAATCCCTCAGGACCAATAATGACAGTAGAGATAACAGGGGGGGAAGGAGGGGAAGGTTGGGGAGACAGGGGGAATGGATCACAATGATCTACATATAACCCCCTCCCTGGGGGACAGACAATAGAAAAGTGGGTGAAGGGAGACATCAGGCAGTGTAAGACATGGAAAAATAATAATTGTAAATTATTTGTGAGGGAGGGAGAGTGGGGGAGGGAGGGGAAATTGAGGCGCTGATACCAAGGGCTCAAGTAGAAAGAAAATGTTTTGAGAATGTTGATGGCAACAAATTCACAAATGTGCTTGGGGCAATGGATGTATGTATGGATTGTGGTAAGAGTTGTATGGGCCCCCATAAAATGATTTATATATTTTGAAAATGTACAGTCAGAATGCTCCATAGAGGCAAGGATGGTTAGACTTTGTCTCATATACTTTGGACTTGTCGATGGAGAGACCAGTCTTCAGAGAAGGGTGCCCTCCTTGGTAGAGGGGCAGGAAAACAGAAGGTGGCCCTGCACAAGAAGGATTGTCCGGCTCAAACTCAAGAACAATTGTGTGGTCAGTGCAGGATTGGGCGGTATTTCATTTTGTTTTATGTAGGGCTACTATGAGTGGGAAAGACTCAATGGTCTCTACCTGCAACATCAATTTTGTCTCCAAAGGAGACTTCAATATACAATTTGGAATTTTATTCAGTAGCCGTAGATTGTAACTCTCTCCTCAACACAGGGCAAGTCAGTGCCCTTTCCTTGGCACTCCTTCCCGAGCAGCTAAAATACGGTCTCTGCTCCCTCTGGGGGCCTCTATCCTCTCCCATTTCCCAAACACACATACCTGCTATCACAGGACAGTCCCCCAGGAGTGTTTTCTTGTACTTGGCTAGACTTTCGTCGTCCTTGTCCATCTCTTGTAGTTCTTGCAGAGACTTCTGAGGCGGGGGCTTATAATTGAGCTTGCCGTCCAGCTCATCCTCCTCCTCCAGATGGGGGTCCGGGGCGTTATCAGTCATTTTGATCTATTTCAGAGAGGAAGAGAGTTTATTAGCCCCAATCCAGTGGAGGATGTCTGTGCCATGCTTGCCCTAATTGAGTTTCATAATCTTCAGTGCTTTTTCAGGATATTTTCAAAGCATTCAACCTTGTTAGTTTTCAAGAAACAAGGGTATAATGCTTTCCAGTCATTGATATGGCCTGCCTAAATGTGCTGTACTGTGATGAGTATTTTCTGTTCTCTGACTATAACTGATAAGGAAGAAATAATCCACTTCTGAATAATACAGTACAATCAGAGCAACATAGCATGAACAGTTCCTGAACAATGCACCCATAGTCTCCATTGAGATTATAGTCATGATTACTCTTTAAAATCCAGCCAGTCTTGCTCATTTCAAAGTTTGAAGTATGTATAATCCCAATTATGAGGGTTTAAAGAAAAGTAAAGTACCTGCCCCCCCAAAATCAGATAGCTTTATTCCATTAATCTTCTCTTTCTCTGACCCCCTATAACACCCCAAGGTGGTTGTTGCTGTCAGGTGCCTGCCTTTGAGTTGGTGCCAACTCATAGCGCCCCTATGTACAACACCACAGAGCAATACCTAGTCCTGTGACGTCCTCACAATTGTTGTCAGGTGTGAGTCTGCGTCCATCTGTAGTCTCGCCTTCCTTTTCACGGAACCTCTACTTACCAAGCATGAGATTCTTTCCCAAGGACTGATCTCCCGTAATAACATGTCCCACGTTTGTGAGACAAAGTCTTTCCCTCTTCACGTTAAGCATCCTGGCTGTGCTTTTTCCAAGGCAGAGAGGTTTGTTCTTCTGGTCGTGCATGGTGCTTCCAATGTTGCTTGCCAAGACCACGATTCAAGCGCATCAGTTCTTTTGTGGGCTAGCTTTCCAATGTATAGAAGACGATCGAAAACACTGCAGTTTGAGCCAGGCACACCTTAGTCCTGCAAGCGACATCTTTGCTTTTGAACACTTTAAATAGCTCTTTTAAAGAGATTTTAAAACAATATTACTCATAAGAAATTGTAGGCCTCGATGAGAGCTGCGTAATATGTCAGAATGGTCCCTGTCCAACATTGCTACTAACTCCTTAAGGGCAAGCACTAAAATTTATATTTCTCTCCAATCATAACCATTATTATAGTTCGGGCACACAATGAGTGGTCCATTCTTTGGTTCTGTACTAAAAGATTTTCTGTTCCTTTTATATGATACAGCATAGCAAACGACTCTTTAAATTCCTCCCTCCAGACAAAGTTGTGACACTCAAGTTTAGCACATTTCTATCTACCCTTTCTGAACTCATTTTTCTGTCTTTGCTATTTTCTGTCTTTACCAGATTTCGAATGACCTTTCACTTCAAGGGTACACTTTGTCTTACCTTGGAGTTAATTTTCTTTCATCACCAACTTACATTTATTTGTTCTTTGAGAAGGCAAATCTAATAAGATGTAACGAAACATCCACACTACAGTGCTAACAACATATTAACGAACTATTCCTCTTTGGGTATGTACAATAAAGGTGAAATGTATCTTAAAAACCAAAACCAAACCCACTACCATTGAGGTGATTTCAATTCACCGGTAGCCCTAAGACAGAGTAACCTGGTGGTTTCAATGCTAGGATCTTTTCAGAAGCAGAATGCCTCATTTTTCCTGTTGGTTCAAACTGTTCACAGTTTGATTAGCATCTGAGCCCTTAACTATGCCACTGGAGGACATTGAAACGAATCTTCAAAAACAAACCAAAACCAAAAAATTCCCAAACAAACAAAACAACCAAACTCACTGCCTTGGAGTGGATTCCAACTCATAGGGTCTCTTTAGGGTAGGGTAGAAGTGCCCCTTTGAGTTTCAGAGACTGTACATCTTTATAGGAGTAGAAAGCTTCCTTTCTCCTGAGGGGTGACTGGTGGCTTTGAACTGCTGACCTTGTGGTTACTAGCCCAACTTGTAGCCCACTATGTCACCAGGGCTCCTGCAAGGAGCCTTTGAGGTGATATATTCCAATCTCTCATTTTATCTCTGAGAAAGTTGAGATCCAGGAATTAAGAGCATTGCCCAAGTTCACACAACTATGAGATGCAGTATCCTAACCAAAAGGAAGACCTGTCTACTAGGAAACTTTCAGGTATCGTGTATAGTAATGATGGAAATATTTGGGGAAGCCAGCAGGATCGTTGGGCATGGCATAATTTCATGATTCCCTTCATTCTCCCTCTACTGTAACTCCTTTCCGTGCCTGGGGGCAAAGCCTGCATTGCTCCTAAGTGACACAGTGATAAGGCAACATCGATCACATCTCATCCGAGTGGCTCTGCACACGTCTATAAAGTACAAGGGAAGCCATCTCTACTATCTCAGAAGTGAGATGTGGTTTTGAGTTTTAGTGTTGCTACTGTTGGAAAGAGAAATAAAAATAATTTGAAAGTAAAGCCAAACAAAATCAACTTCAACGGAATAAAAATAAACAAAACTGAAAAACAAAAAACATATCCTTTGGTTCATCAGTCCTCTTCCAGATAAATAACAAGCCAAACACTATGAGCCTTGCTCAACTCTGAAATCAGCATTGCAATGCCGGGGTCCACTTCCTGTACAGGAAGGAAACATGTAGGATAGTTTCTATGGCAACTTTGCCTAAGCTGCTGAATAACCACCACTCGAAGCTGAGACTCCAGACAATAACACAGTAAACACAGAGACTTGTCCAACATCCATTCCAAATACCACTAGGTCAACTGAGTGTGGGAAAAATTAAAGGATGCACTGGGTGGATGTTGTAAATTGTGATTAGTTTAAGGAAAACCATTAAGGGACAGAATAAGAGTAACCAAATGAGATAGGTTCTCAGCGGGGAATATCTAGGAGTGTGACTAGATACCCAAAGTAGGCCATGAAACAAACCAGTAGAAGGCACTCAGGAAGGTTATCTACAGATGAGGGCATCCATCCACCATGGGCAGTCACTTTTGGTATATGGCACTTGATTCTAATAGGTTGCCTGATTGAAGCCTGGTCGCTAGGTAAGGACATCACATCCAATCAATAATCTATATGGAATTGTGATTCTGTAGCATATAATCTCAACTGTGAAGAGAGAGAGGTATGGGGGGAGAAAGGAAAAGACAGAAAGAGAGAGAGAGATCTACTTGGTCTAGGACAGAATTTGCCTATGTGACCATTGGCAGGTCAATCTATGTTTTTTTGAGTTAATATTTGTAACTAAATGCTGGTTTAAGATTATAACATTTAGAGGCAGCTATGTACAGTTTTTTAGGACCACTTTCATATTCAATTTACTCTTTTTAAAAATTAATTGGAATTTAATATCAGTCTATCTTAAAGTCTTGGCCTTCACCTTGATAAATATGAAGATTTATGTCAATTTTAAATTTTCTTGATTGATTGCAAACAGACACAATGAAGAAAAAGTATTATCTAAAGACAATAAAGAACAGAGACTGATGTGTGGTTACTATAGAAAATAGTTCTAGTTACCAGGAGGAAATTGAGGACTATATTTAATTAAATTTGTTTAATTATAGCACTAGAAAAAGAAATATGAAGTTAGAGGACCCAGTCCTGTTCACTGTGGAAAGATGATTAGGAAAAGGTGGAAATGCGATAGCATAGCAAATTATAAAGCAAAGGAAAACTGAAAAAAGCCATCCTTAGGGAAAGTCTTTTTTAAACAAAATTAAGTTCACAAGTATTTGTTCCATGCCTACATTGTGCTGATGTTTAATTTAATGGAAAAGTGCCTAGAAGCTGGGCATTTTAACCACATGACAAGGGGCCAGCTAATTTATTATATGATTCTGAACCTTTTTACAAATTAAATTCTCTTTGCAAATTCATAGCTCCCAAGGAAAAAATGGACCAGTCTACGAATTTGATGCCAGCTCAAGGGTTCTGGCATCCTTCACCACTTCTACTGAGTTTCCAGAACCTGATCTCAAAACCAGAATGTCCGAAACCATGAAGCAGAAAGTTGTGTGTTACAGAGGAAGCCTGCCACTCCCTGAGGCCAGGCCAGACCCATGACACAATTTAACCTGAAGCTGAAGATCTTGTCCAACAATTCAAAACCTTTGATAAGTAGAAGCAAGAGAAGATAGCATGTTTTGTTTTGTTTTTTGTTTGTCTGTTTTTCTGGAAGGTTTAGTTCAACTGGCCCCGTGGGTTTCTGAGAGTGTAATTCTTTACTGGAACAGAAAGTCTCATCTTTCTCCCTCAGAGTGGTTTCAAACTGCTGACCTTGCAGTTAGCCCAATGTGTAACCACTGCACCACAAGGGCACCTACAAAACCTTAGGTTCTTCCACAAGCCCATCATGAATAGTTTATATAGTTGTCCAGTAAATCTCCAAAAGATATGATTATGTGTCTTCAATTGAAAATATCCTGAGCAGTTATTAAACATTCTCTGTTTTTAGTGCTCTCATTTTATGGATGCTACATGAAGTGCTAATAGGAATTTTATAAAAATTCTAAAAGCTGTTGATCAATTCCATCATCTTAAGAACAACTAAATTTATTATTGATGTCAATAACATTAATAGTTATATAAGACTGTGTGCTATATCACTCTGGTGGCAGAGTGGATTATGCCAGGAACACTGGTGGCATAGTGGGTTATCTGTTGCCAGGTCAGTAGTTTGAAACCAACAGCCCCATCCACAGTAGAAATATGAGGATCTGTACTCCTTAAAAAGTTACAGTCTTGGGAAAAAAATAAAGTAATAAAAAGAAACACTAAACAAAAAAGTTACAGTCTCGGACACCCCCAGGGTTATTCTGAGTTGTCAGTGAGACTCGATTGCAGGAAGAGAGAGAGAAGAGCTTTCATCAGTGTTAGCTCATTCATTCCTCACACCATTCTTACGAGGTAGGCACCAGAGCCATTCTCTTTTCAAATAAAGACTTCCAGCCTTGACTGGCTTATAGGGACACTTCTATTCTGTCCTTAGTGTTGGTATGAGTTAGAATTGCCTCGATGGCAGTGGT